GTCAATTTCCATTTTCTTTTTACGATTTTTTCCGCTAAGGGTGCGTTTATGTCTGTTCACGTCGTCGTCCTTCTTGGATTTTGACGGGGTTTTAAGAAAGTTTGCTTGATTAGATGTTTCGTTTGGTTGTTTAGCAGAGCCGTTCTCTGATTTAGTATTTTTTAACTCATCCATGGGTGTTTCATTTATGTAGGTAAGATATTCTATTTGTTCGTGGAGCTGGTTAATTCGGGGGTCAGCTTTAGGAATATTCGCATTAGTTAAACTTTCAGCCTCTAGAACTAAAGAATTGATTCTTAATGTGAGATTGTCATAATCTATTTCACCGCAGTTACTCCCACGTATCTGCTCTAAGTATCTGTGCAGTTTGTTCTCATCAATATTGCTCATCTCGGGCAGCTATTAACCTAACCAATGGCTCGGTAATGCATGCTCTAGATCAACAAGAGAGAAAAGAAAAACTTACCAGACATTCAGCGTGAGTAGGTAATCCAAAGTAATCCAAAATTGGTAATCCGATACAAGAGCGATCCCGAAAGAAAGCAGAGCGCAGAGAAATCCGACCTCGTCACTAGGTGCTCAGCGGTCGAATGATGACTGAGGACAGGTCAGGTCAGGTCGTAACTTTAGACTATGAGTGTCGTACTAATTAAAGTACATGACTCATCAATGAATAATCCATTTAAGGCTTTAGGAGTGGGAGATTTTTTGATTCATGAAGAGTATGAATAAATTTTTTTTAGGTCAAATATTCTTGAGATGTTATTGAAATATGCACTGGTCACATGATTCCTAACCAGGATGGTGATTGGTGGGAGCGAGAAAAGCTTGAAATTTCATAATTTGCAGTATTTTTGACTATATATACAAATATTTACATTACAGATGCATGGCATTAAATACTAACATTCTTTGTTAGTGTACAAAATTGTGATAATGATGTTGCTGATTGAATATGAGATATATGATAAGAAAACTTGGTTAAATAGGCGTGGCTGCTATTAGCCAATAAGATGCAAAGAATCTTGTTTAAAAATCTCTTACTTCAGTAAAGTACAAAGTTCAGAAGTATGAAGTAAAAGCTTGATTAAATAGTAGAACATGAAATAAAATGATGAGGATGATTATTTACAGATGAGTATATGCAGATTTCACCACCGAACATTATGATGAATTGTCCGGGGTCTTTTATACGTTTGTTCAATGATATAATCGTAATTGCCAATGTTTTGTATGATATTAGAGGGATGGTGTTGCATTTTACTATAAAATTTATAAACAGTTTTTGAGAATTTCTTCATCTATTGTATTTATATTTAGATCTCTATGTAAAACTTCATTTCTGACAAACCAAGGGGCACCCAGCATGGTCCTAATAATTTTATTTTGTATGACTTGGAGTTGATTTCTATTTGATCTTGCAGCTGCAGCCCAGACAGGTGATCCATACAACATGACTGGTCGTATGAGTTGTAAATATATAATTCTTTTGGTGTTGATGCTGAGTTTTGAGTGACTATTAATAATAGAGTAGACACTCATGAACGCCTGCATTGTTTTGGTTCTAGTTGCAAGAAGGTGTTCTTTAAAGTTAAGTTTGTAATCAAGATAGATGCCGAGATATTTGACAGTGTATTCTCTATTTACAGGTTGATTATTTACATAAAGTTGTTCACAGACTGGTCTTCTAGTTGTTCTTTTGAAAATTATATTGTTACTTTTATGAGGATTAATTTTGATTTTCCATTTTATTAGCCAATCTTGGATATTGTCAACTGCTTGTTGTAGTTTATGTTGAGCATGAAAAGGGTTGATTGAAATAGAGAAAATTGCTGTGTCATCAGCATATTGTGCTATCTCAGTGCCTGGGTAGGTAGGAAAATCATTTGTATAGATAATATATAAATACGGTGCCAAATTTCCTCCTTGAGGGACACCCGCATTTATTCTTCTTTTGGTAGAGTAATTATTGTTGATGCGAACTTGAAAAAATCTATTTTGCAGGTAGTTGTGGATTATTTGGATTAAAGCAGCAGGAAAGTTGTATTTAATTAGTTTATAGATGAGGCCTGTATGCCAAACTTTATCAAACGCTTTCTCCACATCGAGGAAAAGAGCGGCAACCGTTTCCTTTTTATTAAAAGCTTCACCGATCTTTTCAACGATGCGGGAAACTTGATGAATAGTTGAATAATTTTTTCTGAATCCGAATTGGAAGGGAGAGATGATATTGTTGTCCTGCGCATATTGCTGGAGACGTTTTTGAATAATTTTTTCGAATATTTTTGAGATAGCTGGAAGTAGAGAGATTGGTCTGTAACTTGTGGTCAGTTTCTTGTCTTTTCCTGGTTTTTTAATGATGATTATTGTAGCAAGTTTCCAGGCAGAAGCAATATAATTTTTTCTAAGACAAGCATTGAACAGGTTAACTAGATAAATAATCGCTTTCTTAGGAAGATTTTGGATTGCAGTGTTGGAAATTTTATCATATCCACTTGCTTTTTTGGGATTGAGCTGCTTTATGATATAAATAACTTCAGAAGGTGTAGTAGGGGAATTGGCTCTACTCCTGCTGGAGTTAAGAAAATTTTGTACATACTCTTTTATGTTATTATCTTCTTGATGATTCATATTATTGATGGTGAATTGATCTTCATGAACATTTGCAAATTCATTAGCAATATCTTCAGAATGATGAATAATATTGTTGTTGCTTTCAATGGGTCCTATTTTTTCATTGTTACTTCTAAGTTTTTTAGCTAGCTTCCAAATGGAGTGATCAGTATGAGATAGTTTTTCGACATAATCATTCCAACTGTCATTTTTATAATCTGCACATAATTTTTTGACTTTATAATACGCTCTTTTATAATTGCTGTGATCAGTGTGGGTACGAGTTCTTTGCCATGTTTTCCTGAGTCTGTTTTTAATTCTAATTTCTTCAATAATATGTTGTGGTAGTGAGTAGTCTTTTTTGATTGAATTTCTTGTAGCTTTATTGATGGAATCAATAATTTTATTGTTAAGTTGATTGGTAGCTTTATCTATTAATTCAGGAGTAGTCATACTAGCATTAGCTGAGATGTTGTCATTTAATATATATTTAAAATCTGTCCAGTTTACTTTAGTTGGCTGGGGAGGCATATAATGGATAATATTATTAAGAGTAAACATAATTGGATTGTGATCTGAATCCAGTTCAGGGATGTTGATAAGATCTGGGATTTGTGGAATATTGCTAGTAATAAGTATGTCTATGACATCTGAGATATGGCTATTGCAGGTTGAGATATGTGTAGGTTCATTGTAGAATAGATATTGATGGTAGAATTTTGCATGAAGTTGTACAGTCTATTGCCATTGCTATTTGTATATCTGGAATGCAATGCTGGGTGTTTGCAATTTAAGTCTCCTGCTATTATGGTAGGGTAACCCAAATTGCAAATATAAGCTATTTCTGCTGTATTGATTATTTTTTGTGGAGGCTTGTAAACCGAAACAAATAAGTAGAGTGTAATATTGTTACTATACACAAGGCAAGCACAGGCTTCTATTGAGTTAAAGTTAGGAAGTTGATAATCCATGTGTTTGATAGAATTTTTTATAATGATAGCAGTGCCACCTCCACTGTTATGTAATCTATCACTTCTATAGATACTATAGTTGGCAATTTTAAATTTTTTATTTGGTTTCAGATGAGTTTCGTTTAGCATCATGATGTCAATATTATTTTCAAATATAAATTTTGTAATCTGTAGGTGCTGCCTGATTACTCCATTACAGTTATAGAATACAGATTTGATATAATTTAGCTTATTAGCACTTGAGTAGTTTCTTTGAATATTGCTATTAATCATTGTTGAGGTTTTCGTATATTCTTAGCGCTTCAAAAGCTACTGACATTTTTTCTGTAACTGAATTGGCTTGACAGAAGTCATCATAGAGATCGTATATTGATGCCATAAAGGCTATAAATTGGTCTAAATTTTTTCCAGTGCGTTCTTGGGTATTATTTTGATTTCTTTTTAATCTTGGCTCTTTCTTATTATTGGTAATATTATTTTCTTGAGCTTTAATTTTTCCTTGGAGTGCAGCAGAATAGGATAGACTGTTTTCTGATTGGTCAATAGGATCATGTGATCCTATTTGACTTTTTTGGGAATTTGTAGTATTTTCTGAGCTTTGAATTATTTTCATTGCAGATTGTTGAATTTGCTTTGGGATTTCATTATTTATTTCATTATTTTGATTGCCTGGTCTGCGAGGGCAAGATATAGAAGATGCTGGGTGTGATCCTAAACATAGGACACACTTCGCATCATAATTTTGAGTGCCCTTAAAAGGGCAGAGGTGTGATCTGTGATTTTCTGCACATCTTACACAGCGAGGTGTATTATGACAAGCTCGCTGTGTATGATTGTATCGTTGACAATTGTAACATTGAGTAGGGCCCAGGTTTAGATTGGTATTTGACAACACGTACCCATAATCCTATAATTTTTTCTACATGCATTAGTTTCTTCCCTTCCTCAGTTCTGGGTGCTTCAATATAAAAAACCGGAATAAAATTAGATGTGCCATTAGTAATTTTAGTTAGGTGTTTAACTTTTATTATTGGTATTCCTTGCTCTTTTAAATCCTCTTCAATTTCTTGCTCGGTTACGTCATTTGGCAGATCTTTGATTATAGCTCTTACTGTTTTATCTGAATGTAGAAGAAATGAATGATAAGTTATTTTCTTTTCTTTAAAGTATTCCTGTATTTTTCTATACTCATCTAAATCAAAAACCTTAATTATTAGGTTGCCTCCTTTAAGTTTTCCATCCACTTTTTGAATATTGAGTTTTTCGGTAAGCGTTTTATGTAAGGTTTTCCAGCTTACGTTGGTATCTGTTATGACGAATGGAGGTATTTTATTTGCATATTTCTTTGGTTTTTCAAAATTTTGAGAATTTATTTGATCGACATCAGAGTTATTTTGATTATTTGAGCTATTTTGATTATCTGAGTTTTCCTATTGTGTCATCATTTAGGGTAACTTCTGACTGAAGTATTTCATATGGGTTTATGGTAGCCAGATTTGGCGATTTATCTTCTGGACTTTTCTGTGGAGTACGCTGCTTTGGCATGGTACGCCAACGATTACTTTCAATTTTGGTAAGTTTGGTGCTGGTTGGAGTAGTATCATAGGGTTGATTTTGATTTTCATTTGCAGTGGTATTATTTTTTACTTTATTTTGGGTATTATCTTTTTCTCTATGATCAATTATAGGTAATTTTTTGGGTGAATTAGTCGGAGATAATTCATCTGATATTGGAGTTTCTAATATAGAATTATGTAATACAATTTCATCTTCTATTTCTAGAAGGTTTTTCCTATCTTCTGATTGTTCAGTCCCTCATCATGGCCTTTTTTAACAAACTTTTCTCGCTCGGTTTCTAGATTTTTTAATCTATTTATTCTCCAAAACGGGGAGCCTGGAGTATGTTGGGTATATCTTTGGTGCTTTGAGCACCGCTACGCGTTGAGCATAATTGTAGTTTTCCTGATCCTACACCTGAATTGCCTTAGAATAGCTATGTAATGCCGCTGAGAGTCACCATAATGCAATGAAAGATACTCACCAAATGAAAGGAAGATCTAGAAGTTCTAGATGGCCTGAAGCAAATGGTAATAAAAGCAATAATGGCAAATGTAAAAGATAAGCAAAAGCAAGTCGCAAACGAGGAGCGCAAAAATTCGAACCTGTCTCTAGGAGCTCAGTGGTTCGAATCATCCTTCTGCCAGAGTGACGCAAGATACTTATAGCAGAAGTAGGAATGACGTCATCTCACGGCAACCAATCAGCTATCGGCACGAATCGGCTTTTCAGATTACGTAACATCACGTTTCGTTTTTGCATCTCAATTAGGTTGAAACAGTCCATTCTCAACGCAAACAGTGGCAGCAAGAAAAAGAAGTAGAAGTAACTACTATATTACATTAAAATAAGAACTAAACTAAATAAACATTTCAAGGAGGAGAGATGATGCAGTAAAAGGTTTAAAATAAGCTATATTTTCCAACAAATGCCCCCCACATCATCATCATCTCCGACCTGAAATAAAAACCGAATGCCAGTATCTTTACAAAATTCAAAACAAGAATAAATAAATATCACAATTTCATTCAGAAATTTTTTAAGAAAATTTTCCTTTGGGAAAATCTTATCCCATTATTCAAAAATTTTACCATAGCAAGAAAGTCCAACATGTTACAAAACAATACAAAGACATATGTATGATCATACACTCAATACATTTACCCAGGGCCCTGGTCACTCATACAACATTCTACACTATACAATTTTACATTTACCTAATATCCATCATAATATGACTTATAACATATTTTTCAAATAATTGACAAAACTCTTAATTTAAATACACACAAAAAAAATATACAAAAAAACAAATTTCATAAGAAAATTGTTCCACCACAAAATCTTATCAGGTTATGCTTAGTCAGCGGTTTTGTCATGGGATCAGCCAGATTATCTTTACTTGGAACATATTTTAAATCAAAAATTTTCCCTGTTCAATAGATCACGAATGAAAAATAGTTTCACATCTATATGTTTTGTCCTTGAGTTTTCAATGGGTGATTTTGTAAAACATATAGCAGCCATGTTATCAGCAAACAATATTGGCCTCGAAACATAGTTACTTGCAATTTAAACTGAATGCATTCATCCAAAATGTTTTTAAACCAAACTAATTCTTTTGCTGATTCAGTCATGGAGATAAATTCAGCCTCCATAGTAGACAAACTCACTCCCCTTTCTTTAAATGTACGCCAAGATACAGGTGATTCTCCCAACAAAGCTATTTGTCCACCAATAGACACCATATCATCCCTGCTTGAAGCAAAATCCGAATCTGAATATATATTGAGCTTCAGTTCCTTGCATACCAGTTTGAGTTTGTGCTGTCTGGTATTGGAAACGTACCCTAAAAGTTTAAGTAATCCTTCCCAGTGAAACTTACCCAGGATTGCTTTGGAACTGAGAAAATATATTAACAGCATAAGCTATATCCGGACGAGTACGATTGCAAAGAAACGAGAGACATCCCAAAACATTTCTATAAGGATAATTCATCATTTCAGTCGTTTCTTCTTGTGTACTGGGACTTTGAGTATTTCACACCTTTAACTATTGGAAGGGAAGTAATTTGTATTTTAAAAGACTTAAATCGATCAACTATGTCTTCTATATATAATTGCTGATGAATTAAAACACTATTGTTCTCATATTCAAATTCCACACCCAGAAGCTTTCTTGTTTTACCCAAAATTTTCAAATCGAAATGTGAACTCAGGACTTTTAATATCCTTTTGGCCTGAACTTCACTTTTCCCAAACACAACTATATCATCAACATAAACCAACAGAATGACAAAATCTTTAAAACGATAGACACAATTGCACCACTCAAACTTGATAAATCATCCCTGCTGATCTATTGAACAAAATTTTTGATGTTCCAAGTAGGTTACATACTACATAACCTGTTTTTGTGAAACTATCTAGGTTACATAGTGTTCTATCCAACTCGTAGTACCATAATCGCCCACTCTGATGCAAACCATACAAGGCTCTATCTAAACGACACACAAAAGTTTCTTTATCTCGCGCTCTACAAAACCCTGAGGTTGGGACATGTAAATTTCCTCTGATAAAGGAGCGTAGAGATAGGCACTTTTTACGTCGCATTGTATATTTGCCCATCCAAGGTGTGCAACTAAAGAGAAAAAGAATTAAAATTATTATTACTAAAAAGAAAATTAGATTACTTATTATTACTGAAAAGTTGACTACAGGAGAGTAGGTTTCATCATAGGTATCGTATTTAATTTGCCGATAACCCTGAGCCACTAAACGAGCTTTAAAACGAACAATGTTTCCAAATTCGTCACGTTTAATGTTGAAAATCCACCTGCAACCTAGTGGAGTCTTGTCTTTAGGAAGTGGAACAAGATGCCATACCTTATGCTTTCGCATGTTGGCCATTTCCTCTGCCATTGCCTCTATCCATTTAAGCTTTTCTGCAGATTTCATAGCCTGGTTATAAGTGTTTGGAATTGAAACATCTAGTCAGCTATCTCAGGTACAGTCAAAAGTCGTTAATTCGGATACCCATAATCCGGACCTCAAAGCTAAAAACTTTCTGCGCATGCGTCGCGTTCACGCATGCGCATAGGCATTTACGCGTGCGCGTAAGACCTTTACGGCTGCGAATATACGTGTGCACATGCGCGTTTAATGTATAACGGACGGTCTAAGCTAAGCTAAGCTAAAATTATCTAATTAAGCTAATGTTGCAGATTGCATTGTTCCTTAATCTTCGAATTGGATCCGGCTTATTATTTTTTGCAGACTGTTAGAGCAATTTTATAAAAGTAAGCTTGAACTTTCGATTATGTCAAATAGAATTTCCGATATATATTTACTAATATGTAAAGGATCTACAAAGCGAAAGTATGTTTCGAAGTCCATTAAACAGAAAGTGGAATTGCTGCAAAAAATGGATAAAGGCATATCCTTTGATTATCTAACATTCCGAAATTGTTTATCAATTTCACGCTGCTCTGCGGGGGGGGGAAAACGCGCGGCGCGCAATGAATTGGAAGTTGATCTGTCAGCACTATCCTCATCTTCAGGGCAGATGTTTTTATTTTATTTGGCTTATAATTCTTTACTAAATGTAGTATTTCATCTCGATGTACTCCGTCTTTGATATGATTTAAATCAAGTTCCTCATGATTATAATTTGCTTCCGATAGTAAGAAAGTGACACAGAGGTTATTGAAACGAAAAAATTTCGATTGACAAATTAGTCGGTATTCTCGACACAGCATTATAGGACTTGAACAGCGGAACTTTGTAACTGAACAAGAAATTATGTCTGTTTAACAGAATTAAAGAGAAAGTATTATCACATGAAACGAAGCAACTTAAACAACTTACATTGAAAGAAATGTTTAATAAAGTAAACAAATAAATATTAGCTTTTTCTTTTTGTAAATTTTGATACCCTTTAGATCATAATTGTCTTTATTTCATAAATTACGGTTTCATATATTTAATTTATAATTTCTGCATGCCATCTTACCAGATTTAAACTGATGATCTATAATCCGGAAAATTGATAATCCGGAATCGTCGAAGTCCGACGAGTCCGGATGACTTTGACTGTATCGTTGAAGGAGTGCATTGGGTCGATTTCACCACTATAAGTATTGCTTCCCTTGAAATCAAACAAGGTAGGATCATACTGAATATTATGTTCAGTGCAATACCTTTCTACATCATTTGGCGATCGTAGTCTTTGATTACACCCCCTCTCAAAATAATACACATCCGTACGAGTGCCGTCTGTCTGGCCTTGGAACAGGTTACGAAGCCAAGTTACTTGTCTCAATGTAGATTGAGTGTCAGTGCCAATTGTAGAAGAAGGTACATTGGTATCGGTTCTTTCCTCTATTTCAGGAAAATAGCCAACTGGAGTATCATTAGATTGGAACTCTACCCTTCTTCAGATTCCAAATCAGGAAGGGTGCCCAGTGCAGCTCCACTGCCACTTTTTCTGCATTCCAATTGACTCTTTAAAAGTAGCATTTAGGGTTTCTACTACACCTTTTGCTCATTTTCCAACCAAATCTTGTACCCTTTTGTTCGTACACTGTACCCAATCAATCGGCCCTTCGTTGCCTGCCTTGGATCAAGTTTAGAATTTCTTTTAGCCTTTGGAATTCCCACATAGGCAATCGTTCCAAATGCCTTAAGATGACGTACTGATGGTTTCCGCTTAGTGTATAATTCAATGGGGTTCTATCTTGGCCCTTATGACAGATTCTATTAAATGAATATGCAAAATACATTACTGCATCTGACCAAAATTCGGAACTCATTCCACTATCGTGTAAGATTGCACGTACATTGTTGAGAGCTGTCTGATTAAATCTCTCACAAACTCCATTCTGTTCTGGAGTATATACATCTGTAAATTCGTGCTTTACACCATTTTTATTACAATATGACCTGAATTGATCATTATCATATTCTCGCCCATTGTCAGTCCTAAAGTATTTCAACCTAAGGTTCAAAGATCTTTCCGCACGTGCTATATGCCTTTCAAATACTTCAAACACCTGACTTTTCTCCACAATGGGGTACACTACCACATAACGAGAATATTCGTCAATAAAGGAAACGAAATAACGTTCACCATTCCTACCTGGAATGTTAATAGGTCCCCATACATCAGGAAAAAACCCTTTCAA